CAGCAATGTGGAAGGAACTGGAAGGTGTTATGTTGAATGAAATAAATCAGTCAGAGAAGGACAGATATCATGTTTTCACTCATATGTGGATCTTGAGAAACTTAACAGAAGACCATGCGGGAGGGGAAGGGGAAAAAATAGTTACAAACAGAGAGGGAGGGAGGCAAACCACAAGAGACTCTTAAATACAGAGGACAAACTGAGGGTGGATGGCCGTGGGGGAGAGGGAAAAATGGGTGATGGGCACTGAGGAGGGCACTTGTTGGGATGAGCACTGGATGTTGTATGTAAGTCAATTTGACAATAAATTACATAAAAAAAAAAAAAAAGAAGTTGGGTCAGCAGTGGGGGGGGGCAGTGAAATATGGGTCTCATAGAAAAAGTGCAAATGGCAAGAGACTCATCTTCAGAGTAAAAGAGGTTTGTTCGTTTGTTTGTTTAAGCAATCAAAGAAAACACCAAGGTGGGGGAAGCAAGCCATAACCCATAATCCAGAAGGCAAAGCTCTGTCTCCTCCATGAGACGCCATCAGCAGAAAGGTTGGGGGTATGTGGGGCTATTTTTATACTTCCAGTGAATCCTGGCAGAAAACTACTTATAAATATGCTCAAACAGCTCTTGGGTGGTCGTGCTTTTGTCATGGAAGGCGGCAGACATTTTTTGGACCCAGGGTGGGATGTTGGAAACAGATGGCTTTGATTATTGGGAATCCATTCAACAAAATAATTGCTATTTTTACTTTGTATATTAAACATCTGCTCAAACAGCTCCTCTTGGATACAAGGCATGGATGTGATGTGTTTAAGGTCGGGGTGGGGGGGTGCATATCAACAGTTAGGGAAAGGGTCACAGCCTGGAAGGAAGAGAAAGAAGGAGCTGGGGGTCAAGAAGACCCCACACAGGGATGCCCCGAGGGTCTCAGCAATGAACCCTGAGCTTGTGGACAATCAGACCCAGGAATCAAAGCCTGCCTCCCCTGTTTGCCCAGTGACAGGCACCTGAGATACCGCCAGGGTGGGCAGCTGGTGAAGAAGGGAGGCAGCTCCCCAAGATGGACTCCCTTGTCTACCTGCTTCCTGACTCCGGGGAGAGAGCTGGAGACACCCAGTATGACTCAAGACAAGGAGCCAGGGTCCAGGCTATGCATAAATGGAAAGTGGGGAAACTGATGTCCAGAGGGAAAAAGTGACTGGCTAGAGTCACCCAACGGAGCAGGACCAGACTGTGAGTGCTGGACTCCTGAGTCCCCCAGAGGTGAGAGTCGTGCTGGGTCTGAACCAGGGTGGGGAGGACTCTGGGTCCTGACTCTCCCCGGAGTAAGGCAGAAGTCGGCTGCTGTCAGGGAGAGGGGTGAGTGGGGGAAAGCGGAGGTGGGAAGACAGCAGACAAAGAGAGGAGGGAGAGGGAGGAGGGGCGTGGAGAGGAGACAGGAAGCTGGAGGGGCCAGAAAGACAGCCTGTGTTTAATTGGGAGTTGGGAGGGGCGGGCAATCCTGCTTTTTTTAGGCTACTGAGAGATTTTCAGGGTCTGCTTGACAGGACACTGGTGAGGGGGGTGGCATGTGATGAGGATCCCAGGGCACCCCGTCATGAGCTGGAGTGGGAGTTAAGGTATTGCTAAATAACACTCTAGATTCTAATCTAGAGCAGCCATCCTCCCAGCCACACTCAGAGCTGGGCGGACCCAAGTTTTGCAGGTAGAACCTTGAGGCTTTGACAGTATGGGGGACTCCCTTTAAAAAATAAAACATTTGGGGTCCCTGGGTGGCTCAGTAGGTTGAGTGGCCAACTTCGGCTCAGGTTATGATCTCACGGTTCATGGGTTCAAGCCCCACGTCGGGCTTTGTGCCGACAGCACGGAGCCTGCTTTGGGTTCTCTGACTCCCTCTCTCTCTCTCTCTGCTCCTCCGCTGCTCACATTCTCTCTCTCTCAAAAATAAATGAACGTTAAAAAAAAGAAGAAGGGGGGAGACCGGAGATCTTGCAACTGGAGCAGCATGGCCAAGCCTTGCGGGGTGCGCCTGAGCGGGGAAGCCCGCAAACAGGTGGGTATCTTTAGGCAAAATCTTTTTCAGGAGGCAGAGGAATTCCTCTACAGATTCTTGCCACAGAAAATCATATACCTGAATCAACTCTTGCAAGAGGACTCCCTCAATGTGGCTGACCCGACCTCTCTCTGGGCCCCACTAGACATCCCCATCCCAGACCCCCCACCCAAGGATGATGAGATGGAAACAGATAAGCAGGAGAAGAAAGAAGTCCCTAAGTGTGGCTTTCTCCCTGGAAATGAGAAGGTTCCTTCCCTACTTGCCCTGGTTAAGCCAGAAGTGTGGACTCTCAAAGAAAAATGCATTCTGGTGGTCACATGGATCCAGCACCTGATCCCCAAGATTGAGAGGATGGAAATGACTTTGGGGTGGCAATCCAGGAGAAGGTGCTGGAGAGGGTGAATGCAGTCAAGACTAAAGTGGAAGCCTTCCAAACAACCATTTCCAAGTACTTCTCAGAACGCAGGGATGCTGTGGCCAAGGCCTCTAAGGAGACTCATGTCATGGATTACCGGGCCCTGGTACGTGACCGAGATGAGGCAGCCTATGGAGAGCCCAGGACCATGGTGCTGGACCTGAGGGCCTTCTGCGCTGAGCTTTATCATATCATCTGCAGCAACCTAGAGAAAATTATCAACCCAAAGGGTGAAGAGAAGCCATCTATGTACTGAGCCCAGGGCCAGAAGGGAAATAAATGACCTATGCTTTGTGTGGGGAAAAAAAAAAAAAAAAAGGAAGAAAGGAAGAAAGAGAAAACATTGGGGCACCTGGATGGCTCAGGTTATGATCTCAAGATTTGTGGGTTCAAGCCCCATGTCAGGCTCCACACTAACAGTGCAGAGCCTGCTTGGGACTCTCTGTGTCCCTCTCTCTCTGTCCCTCCCCTGCTCGCTGTCCTCTCTGTCTCTCTCTCTCTCTCTCTCTCAAAATAAATAAACTAAAGATAAAAAAGGTAGAGAAAACGCAATTACAAAAAACAAAATTAGGCATGGGGCTTTGGAAGGGGCCTCTACCTCTGCTCAGCGCCTTCTCTGGTTTCTTCTCTCTCATCCTTTGTAAACCAAGGCCCACCACTCCCAGAGGGGGAGGTGGGAGCAGGTGATGTCAAGAGCATGGACTTGGAGGTCAGACAAACCTGGGCTGGAATTCTGGCTAAGCCACTTCCTGCGTGAGCCAGGCAAGTCACTTCAGTCTTGAGACCTCAGTTTTCTCATCTGTAAAATGGGCAGGATAATATTTGCCTCCTCAGAACCACTGTCAAAATAAAATAAAAGAGTAACACGTAGAGCACTTGGCACAGTGCCTACCATGTCACAAGCACTTAATAAATGGCATGCCTGATATGGAGTAAGCATTTGGTTTATGATTATAATAATCACCCAAAATGATTCAGTTTCACTTCAACTGGCACTTCTTCTAGGAAGTCCTTTGTCAGAAATTGAAGTATAGCATACATCCAGCAAGTACATGATTCAGTGTACAGCCCGGTGAACTTTTCCATAAAAATGCACCCAAGTTATCACCACCCAGATCAAGACACAGAGCATTAGGGCACCTGGCTGGCTCAGTCAGGGGAACGTGTGACTCTTGATCTTGGGGTTGTGAGTTCAAGCCGCACATGTGGAACAGAGTTTACTTAAAATTAAAAACTAAAAAAAAAGGGGCGCCTGGGTGGTTCAGTTGGTTAAGCATCCGACTTCAGCTCAGGTCATGATCTCACAGTCCGTGAGTTCGAGCCCTGCATCGGGCTCTGCATGACAGCTCAGAGCCTGATGCCTGCTTCAGATTCTGTGTCTCCCTCTCTCTCTGCCCCTCCCCTGCTCATGCTCTGTCCCTCTCTGTCTGAAAAATAAGTAAAAACATTAAAAAAATTTTTTTAAAAAGACAGAGCCTCAGGAGTCCCCTCATCTCTCTTCCCAGGGAGTATCCTTGCCTTCCATCCCCATGAGAAATTCATTAACCTGAGCTCTACCATCATAGATTAGATTGTTCTTGAAGCTTTATATGCATGGACTCATAGCGTATCCTTCTGTGTCTGGCTCAAAGAAGTTCCGAACTATGTGGTTAAGAGTTCAGGCTTCAGGCTCAGTCACGCCTGGTTCAAATCCTGGTTCAGCCAAGCCTTTGCTATGTGCCTCAGGCTGTGCTATGTCTCAGTGTCTGCATCCGTGAAATGCATGTAAATCATCATACCTACCTGATAGAATTTTGAGGGAGATTAAATGAGATATTGTGCTTGAAGCATTTGGCAGCCAAGGGTGCCCGAGAAGTGGCAGGGGCTGTTTTTATTCATCTCAGTTATGCTCAGCCCCTCCCGTGTCCGTCCCTAGGAGAGTCCCAGAGACTCCATGGCTCTGACCTGAACAATTGCCCTAGTCTCCCTTGGTGCCTTCAACTCCGACCCAGCCTGCTCTTAGCTGCTAAGTGGGCCGGGCCAACACGGCCACAGGTGGGTCACTGGGCACCCCCACTTTCCCACCTGAACTCCAGCTCAGCCTTGAAGTCTCAACTTTGCCTTTCCCAGGAGTCCTTTCCAAATCCCTGGCTGGACTGGGTGCCCCTCTGCAGGCCTCCCTGGCTCCCCATTCCTGCCCTGGCAGAGTACTCGGCGCTGCATTTTGTCACCCCGGAGTGCTCAGCGCCTGGCAGAGTGCCCAGCACACCACAGGCACCTGATGCATATTTCTTAAATGTTAAATGGATAAATAAATAAATAAATGTCTCTCCCATATTTGAAAACCTTCCATGGGTCTCATGGAGAGAGAAATGAAGTCCAAACCACAGAGTACTGTATTCTACGGTCCCTCCTCACCACATGGCATGGTTGGGATCCTTTCTCTTGTTGGCTGTGAGAGCTCGGACGAACGGCTTGGTTTCCTCATCTGTAAAATGGGGATAATAATAGTAAATAGGGGCGCCTGGGTGGCGCAGTCCGTTAAGCGTCCGACTTCAGCCAGGTCACGATCTCGCGGTCCGGGAGTTCGAGCCCCGCGTCGGGCTCTGGGCTGATGGCTCAGAGCCTGGAGCCTGTTTCCGATTCTGTGTCTCCCTCTCTCTCTGCCCCTCCCCCGTTCGTGCTCTGTCTCTCTCTGTCCCAAAAATAAATAAACGTTGAAAAAAAAAATTAAAAAAAAAAATAATAATAGTAAATAACTCATAGGTGACCATTAGGGTTCAATGAATTGATAAATGTGAAGAGCTTGGAATAGTGATTGACATATAGTATGTCCCACATATGCTAGTTGTTGTCCTCATCCTCTTATTCCCCCTCCTGTTCCCCCTCCTCCCCCTCCTCCCTCCCCCCCCCCTCAACACTATTCTGCTGGGGGAGGGGTAGCCACCTGGCTATGCAGGGTGAGGGAGGGGACCTGGTGGCAGGACTGCTCCTTTTCTTTACCAGTCCTCATTTTCAGCCCCGTCCCTCACTCCTACCTTTGGAAGGACGTGGTACCAATGAATCCTGAGCCGTTCCAAGGTCCTGTGGTTGAGTCCGCTGGTCTCTTTTTGAAGATTCATGTTTCCACTTCCTCTTTTCTCCGCAGTCATGACTTACGTGCTGTTCATCTTCCAGACTTTTGTCGCTCATCTCCCATTCCCTCCTTTTTCTGTTCTTTGTGTCCTTGTGGATTTTAACTTCTTATAATTCCCCTGCTATTTCTTTAGCGGGGTTTCAGGAGGAAAAGGATTCCACACTATATAACCGGATCTATTTTTCTATAAACAAACAAAATTCTGAAACAAAACATTAACTGTTTATTCTTGGGGAAGGGGCACATGGGAATTTGCTTTATTAGTTTTCTGTGTTTTTAAAATGTTTTGTTTAAAAAAAGAGAGGTTCTGGGCGCCTGGATGGCTTAGACGGTTAAGCATCCGATGCGATTTCGGCTCAGGTCATGATCTCATGGTTTGTGAGTTTGAGTCAGGCTGAAGCCTGCTTGGCATTGTCTCTCTCCCCTCTCTCTGTCCCTACCCTGCAAGCTCTCTCTATCTCTCAAAATAAATAAATAAACTTAAAAAAATAAAAAAAAAATTTTTTTTTCAACGTTTATTTATTTTTGGGACAGACAGAGACAGAGCATGAGCAGGGGGAGGGGCAGAGAGAGAGAGGGAGAACACAGAATGGGAAGCAGGCTCAGGCTCGAGCCATCAGCCCAGAGCCCAAAACTGCAGAATGGGCTTTCAGGACATGAGATCTTGACCTGGTCAGGGCAGCTTAACAACCATACACACTGGCATAAAAATTTTTTTTAAAGAGAGGCTCTCCTCTATTCAAAAAAGTGACTTTGATCCTGATCCGTGGTTCTAGCTGTTCTTTTTTTTTTCTTTTTTCATCTTTCTTCCAGAAGAATAAGTCCATACTTTTTTGCAGGCTTGGAATTAGTCCTCACCTTTCTGCACAGTGACAAACATCCCAGGTCACCAGTGACTTTTCAACTCCCACAACCACTACAGTTTTCCTTTTTTTTTTTTAAAACATCTTTTTTTTTCAACGTTTTATTTATTTTTGGGACAGAGAGAGACAGAGCATGAACGGGGGAGGGGCAGAGAGAGAGGGAGACACAGAATCAGAAACAGGCTCCAGGCTCTGAGCCATCAGCCCAGAGCCCGATGCGGGGCTCGAACTCACGCGAGATCACGCGAGACCTCGCGAGATCGTGACCTGGCTGAAGTCGGACGCTTAACCGACTGCGCCACCCAGGCGCCCCCAGTTTTCCTTTTTTTAATATTATTTTTTTTTATTTTTGAGAGAGAGACAGACAGACAGACAGCACAAGCAGGGGAGAGGCAGAGAGAGGGAGACACAGAATTTGAAGCAGACTCCAGTCGCTGAGTTGTCAGCGCAGAGCCCGATGCGTGGCTTGAACCCAGGAACCGTGAGATCATGACCTGAGCCCAAGTCGGATACTTAACAGAATGAGCCACCCAGGCACCCCTCCTTTTTTTTTTCAAGTTTATTTATTTTGAGAGGGTGAGAGACAGAGAGTGAGCTCTTGAGTGTATGTGCGCATGTGACTGTTCATGAGCAGGAGAGAGGCAGAGAGAAAGGGAGAGAGAGAATCTCAAGCAGGCTCTGTGCTGTCATCTCAGAGCCTGACACGGGGCTTGATCCCACGAACCGTGAGATCATAACCTGAACCCAAACCAAGAGTCGTATATTTAACCAATTGAGCCACCCAGGTGCCCTGGAAGTTTTTCATTTTTACTGGAGCTTTGCAGCATGATGTGGTGTTGGGTCTCCTGGCTTTGTGCACTGCTGGCCCACCCATACTTCTCTGGCCTTTTCCCTTCTGCCTCCTTCAGTGTCTGCTCCTTTTGCTCAGTCCCTACCCCCTTTTTTTAGAGGCAGGGGAGGTGCAGAAGAGAGGGAGAGAAAGAAAAGATAATCCTTATTTTTTAATGTTTATTTATTTTTGAGAGACAGAGCATGAGTGGGGGAGGGCAGAGAAACCGGGAAACAGAATCCGAAGCGGGCTCCAGACTCTGAGCTGTCAGCACAGAGCTGGACGTGGGGCTTGAACTCACAGACGCTGAGATCATGACCTGAGCTGAAGTCAGACGCTTAACCGACTGAGCCACCCAGGCGCCCCTATTTTAAAATAATTCTTAGGGGGCGCCTGGGTAGCTCAGATGGTTAAGTGTCTGATTCCTGATTTCCACTCAGGTTATGATCACACAATTCGTGAGCCCCGTGTGTGGCTCTGCCCCTGCCTG